GGAAAGAGAGTGGGAAAAAGTAAATAAGGGTGAGGGGGGAGAGAGTAATAAGTAATAAGTAATAAGTAATAAGCAGGGTGGAGGGACAGTTTGGCCCCTCATTCAATGCTTTACCAAACTCCCTATCCTTTCCTCTTTCCATTTCATCCCTTGCCTTCTTCCTCCATCCCTTTCCCTCAGCTACTCACTCTCTCTTCTTTTCCTAATATCTTTTCCTCTCTGCCACCCATGGAAGCAGCCTTGAAGACCAATTTCAGAAAAGAACAAACTCCACAAAACTTCGTAGAGGAGTTTAGTGCGCCAAATGCCACCTCTTCTGACGACTTTTACGTTGACGACTTACTTGACTTCTCGCACGTCCAAGAAGAACCAGAACAACAAGACCCTGCTTTTCTATCCCTTCAACAACAAAACCACGCCCGTCAACCATCTACTTTCGAACCCGACTACGTCTCTGTTCCCGCTACCGAGCTAAGCGTTCCGGTGATGCTCTTTTGCTTTTTTTCTTTCTTTCTTCGCAATTCGCAGGTTGTTCTGTGCTCGTGGTTTACCAAAGTTGCAATTTTTACAGGCGGATGACGTGGCGGACTTGGAGTGGCTCTCTCATTTCGTGGAGGATTCCTTCTCCGAATTCTCTGCGGCCTTCCCCACCGTAACGGAGAACCAGATGGGGTTCAAGGCGCAAGAGGCCAAGCCCGAACCGGAAAGCCCGCATTTCCGTTTCAAAACCCCGGTTCAGACGAAGGCCAGAAGCAAGCGAAGCCGTAACGGTGTTCGGGTTTGGCCACTGGGTTCCCCTTCCTTCACGGAGTGTTCCTCAAGCTCCACCACCACCTCCTCCTCCTCCTCCTCTTCCTCCCCTTCCACCACCACCTTGCTTATATACACCAACTGCCTCCAAAGTTTAGACCACGTTTGTTCTCAGCCCAAGCCCAAAAAGCCCAAGAAGAAAACCTCCTCCGACACTCTGGCGCCACGACGCTGCAGCCATTGCGGCGTGCATAAAACCCCTCAATGGCGAACTGGGCCGCTCGGCCCAAAGACGCTCTGCAACGCCTGCGGGGTCCGTTTCAAGTCGGGCCGCCTCTTACCCGAATACAGGCCCGCTTGTAGCCCAACATTCTCAAGTGAATTACATTCTAACCACCACCGTAAAGTGCTGGAGATGCGGCGGAAGAAGGAGACGGTGGCTGGGGTTGAGAGTCTTGAGACCATAACCCCTGCTTCTGTTCCCAGTTTTTAATTTTTAATTAATTAAATAAAAAAGAAAAAGAGAAAACTAGGTGAGAAAGGTAGCGCAGACTTAAGACCCGGTTCAATGGGACCCGAGTTTTAGTGTACATTTTTCCCCTTGTATTGAGTGCGGTAGGTGTTAGGCTTTGTAACTGATTACAAGACTTTGATATGCAATTTCTTTTACCAATGTCTTTTTTTACTTTTAATTTCATATATTTTTTGTTCCCGAAAATATTTAATAGGCAATAATGAGGGTGGTGGGTTAATGAATGGTTTTGAAATGAAACTGCTAAAGCTTTGTTTGGGGGTGGCCGTTGAGAGGCATGAAGATTGTGAAGTGGTTAAAGGCTTGTTGTAGGGTGAGTTGGACGTACTTTGGGGAACCGAAAGCATTTGGAAACTGCATTACATGGATGGTATCCAAATCCAACATGAACCCCTTTAGCCATCATCACTCCCATCAACAAGTGAGAGGTAACGTGCCGGGGCATAGTAATCTTTACGCTTGAACTTCCTTTGGATTTCTTGCGACACTGGATTTTGGACTCACCTATTCGTGGGCCACCACCGTTTCCTAAGGCCCCTTTTCACACTGTACAATATACTTCACTATGGGACTTATCCTTTAAACATGGAGGATATTATATTTCTTCCATTTATTTACTTTGTTTCCTGCCTCTCTTGGAAAGGGAAATTGCTCCTCACGAGTAGAGACTGGACATATCAAAACCAGATTTTGAAATTTCAAGTATTAACAGCCATGTCTGTGGGCCTAAGAAAAAAAAACGATGACAAATTGGAATCTCAATAATGTAATAAAGTTGGACGAAATAGAGTAACTAATTAATGATATTTCGGGCTTATTGATGAGTTCTTTTCATGTTATCAAGTAAATATAATTTGTTGGTGGGTAAGGACTAAGGAGGGAAAAATACACAGCAAAAAAATACCTATATTTGGGTGGCGACATTGAATACAGATGGATGGGAAACCATCCAGGGTCTCATTGTTGGAGGGACACAAAAAAACAAATTATTTAGTATATATAATATACAAAAACAAAATTAAATTATTAGAATTATATTGGAGAAAATATATCAATTATGAAAAATTAATCAATAATCAATTTTTTACTAATAAAAACAAATTTACCAATAATTTTAATAATATAAATCAGTAATATTAAATATAAAGAGAAAAATGTAATATATTATTGACTTTTTTTTTCTTTTTTAGTGTAAACTTTTATAAGTGTTAACATAAAGTCTAATTTTTTTTAATTTTTTTAATTTTTAAAATTATGATCTATCTTATCCCATTGAAATCTCAAAATTAAATTATGAATTTTCACCTCTTTATTACAGGTTTCTTTGTGACGTGTCATATCCATTTTTTTTTGTTACACAATAGTCTCTAATGATAATTCATAGTCTCATATCAATGTATTATACTTTTAGTCATATTTTATGCAACTTTATATTTAATTAGTTATATGTTTACATTTTTAAGTTTGAAAACTAAGTTGATAAATAATATTTCAATATTTATTATAATATATTTTTTCTATACTCGGAGGATAAAAAAACACTAAGAATCAGGCCTGATTTATTGCCACTGATCTCAGACGGTACCAAACATAGCAATATAGCTATCAACTTGGCTTTTGAAAACTGAACAGTGAACACCCAAACGAAGCTTGAATTGTTGGAAGCAGGATAAATGCATTGCTAATAGAGCTGTATGTCTTGTCATTTTATGTGGTTGCAACCTCGCGAGGAAATTCTCTAAGACTATGAAACTATGACTATGATGTATATGTCTGAGTTTATTTGCAACCAATCGTGGAGTCGATCTTACAGAAACCTAATCAAATGAGTAATGATAACACTCCATAATCTTTGTGTAGCATCTTGGTCACATCTTATAATCAATCATAGCAGAGACCCCTGACAATAAAAAAATGATATTAATATGTTATATCTAAAGTTGAAAGGTCTAACTTTGTTGCTATAACATATTTTTTAAAGAAACAAAAGTGCATATGTTAAATCCTAACTCACTTCTAAAGAATTAATGATTAGTTAATCAGGTAAGAAATATTTGTGTGTAACCGAAAAGATAAAAATAGGGTGGAGGGTTACACATTGTTTTCGATCTTAGTGTAGGTTTCTTGATTGAGTTTAACTTGAGTGTCTTAGAAGAGAATCGGTTATTTGGATGGGTATCTGTATTTGGTAGCTTTTGTTTTAGTTGGTAATCTTTCAAATTTTAATAATTAATGCAACGAACGGTTCGGTTGTGGTGAAAAAAGTTCCCATTTGACATTTTAATTCACACCTTTATGAGAGTGATACTACCACCGGATCCATCATATGTAGTTATGTCCCTTAAATGAATTTTATACAGTTGAAGTTTTAAAAGTAAAACTACTACGTAAATTTTCAATGGTAAATTGTTGATCAACTGTTCCTTACTTATTTTGACTCAAATTTGTTCCGCTCAATGCTTAGTGAGACAGTGATGTATATGACAAAACCAAATGAATAAAAAATATTGACATAATATAAAAAATTTAATGTTATGTACAACTAAGTCATAAAAATAACATCTATAAAAAAAATCATAAAAATAACAAAGTATGAATCTAAAATAAAAATATATTTTACAATGTATATTTCAAAATAAATAATATTAATATAATAGCATCTGTACCGTCATGGTTGGATACCGACTCCCTCAAGCCCTCACGGTTACGGTCGGATACCGAGAGGGTGGACATGCGTACGGTGGCTTCGCTAGTGACTCAACCAGCTTCCCAAAGGTGAGCTCGGTTTTCAGCGGACTTGACACGGGAGCACCCCTTGTCGGATCTCTCTCGACACCTCGATCCCTCTCGTTTATGTGGGCTGAAAAGACTACTCGGTCGAAATCCGATTGGGTCCTCGGCATGGGCCCAATCAATCAGAACCTGACTGGGCCCTCGGCATGGCCCCTGTCGGTCAAAACCTGACTGGGCCCTCGGCATGGTCCCTGTCGGTCAGAACCTGGCTAAACCTGTTCCCTTTATTCCCGCGCCATCAAGATAATAACGGTTAGCAAAATCGCGCCATTCTCGCGGCCTAAGAGGTCCACGAACGACATACTATAAAACCCAAAACCCTAGAGTTGAGAAGGCAGATTATACTATTGAATGCTCTGGATGTGAGGCACGATCTAGGAAAAAACCCTAGTCCACCCTTTTGGCCGGAACATTTTGGCGCCCACCGTGAGGCTACGGTGAAACTTTTCCTACGCCCCAAGTCATACAGAAAGACCTACACATTACCATGGCGAGAGGCGGCAACAACAACAACTCTCAACCCCCTACCATGGAGGAGATGATGGCCATGATCAATGGCCTACGGGAGGATAATGCACGCTCCAGGGAGAGAGAGAAGGCCATTCAGCGCGAGAACGAGGAGATCAGGAGGCGAGCGGATGAGTTACAGGCCAGAATAGAAGCCAGCACCAGAACGTTGGAGGAGGATGTCATGATGGAAGTCCCAAGGGATTTTCGGCCTTTCTCGGAAGCCATAGAGGCCGAGGCCATCCCTAGGGATCATCGAATACCGCAGGTCGAACCTTTCGATGGATCGCAGGATCCTAGTCAACATCTAACGGATTTCCGAGCTCAGATGTTGATTTGCAGAGGGAGCATGGAAGTCCGTTGCAAGCTATTCATGGGAACGCTCAAAAAGGCGGCGCTTGATTGGTTTAGTGGCCTCCCCGATCGATCCATCACCGACTTTGACGTCTTCAGTCGGCTGTTTATGGCTCAATTTGCTGCTAATAAGAAGAAGCCACCGATCACGTCGGATTTATTTGATCTTAAGCAGCAACGGGAGGAGTCATTGAAGGATTTTCTGCAGAGATTCAATGAGGTTGCTCTAAGGATAGCATCGGTGGATGAGAGAATGGCGGTCATCGCGTTTCAGAAAGGTTTGAGGTCCGGAGCCTTCGACATTGCACTCGAAAGGGCGAATTGCCAAACAATGTCGGAGGTGAGGGCTTTCGCCTTGAGCCACATCAAGACGGAGGAGAACCAGATCATTAAAAGGACAGCTGAGAACCGAGAAGCTGGGGGCAGCAATAAGGAGGGGAACAAGCATTTCCGACCGCAATCAGACTGGAACAAATGACGTGACCGGTACAACGTGAAGGATGGCAATTACAGGCAGGCCGATCACGGTGGTCGGTCAAGGGGCGAGTGGACGCGCAACAATGAAGAAGAGAAGTTTACTCCACTCACTGTACCTAGGCGACAGATACTCCACGATGTCAATAGCGCATCATTGTTTGAGTTTCCGGCGGCGACGGAGCGTTAGTTGGGCCCTTTCAAAACCGAGCGCTTGATCAAGGAGGGACGACTGAAGGAGTTTGTGGCGAGAAAGCAAGAGGGAAGCTCGTCAGATAGGCGACCCAGGTGCACCCAAGATGACACCAGGAGGGATAGGCGTAGAGAGAGAACTCCTCCCAGAGACGCGCCAGCAAATGTGTCGGAAGCCCATCAGCAACCCATCCATGGGGATTTCAACACCATCGCAGGGGGCTTCGCTGGCGGGGGAACTACCTCGGCAGCCCGAAAGAGGTACACTCGGTCAGTGCTGACGGTGTCGGAATTCAGGCGACCATCTCAGCCTGAGATTTCGTTCTCAAACGCGGATTACGAAGGAGTAGCCCCTCATGAGGATGACCCCGTCGTCGTATCGGCAATTTTCATGGGGTACAATGTGAAGCGCGTGTTGATTGACCAGGGAAGTTCCGCGGACATTTTATTCTAGGAAACCTTTGAGGGGATGAAAATACCTAACGACCGACTAATTCCTTATGCAGGGACTCTAGTTGGTTTTGCAGGAGACCAGGTCATCGCAAGGGGATACGCCGATCTGGAGACGACCTTTGGCCAGGGAGCTCAGATGAAGACGGTGCTCGTTCGATATTTGGTGGTCGATGCTCAGTCATCGTACAGTATACTGATCGGCAGGCCGACTCTGAACAAGCTGGGAGCGATAGTGTCTACTCCCCATCTGAAGGTAAAGTACTCGTTGTCGAGTGGTGTTGTGGGGGTTCTCAGGGTGGACCAGGAGGTTGCTCGAAAATGCTACGGGGATAGTTTAAAGGCGCGAAGGCGACAGTACACTAAGCGGGTAGAGAAGGAGGTCCACTCTATCGAACTGGATCCTAGAATGGGTCAGTTCGACCACCAACCCGCCCCAGTAGAAGACGTCAAAGAAGTGGAGGTAATGGAAGGGAGAAACGTGAAGATAGGTACCTCTTTGACTCCCGAAGACGAAGAGAAATTGGTGAGGGTCCTAAAGGACAATGTGTCGGTATTCGCATGGCACTCCAGCGACATGCCTGGAATTGATCCAAATTTCTTGTGCCACAAGCTGGCCATAGACCCTAGCGCGAAGGCAGTGATCCAGAAGAGAAGGAAGTTTGGCGAGGAAAAACGAAGGGCTATCGCGGAAAGACGCAGAAGTTAGTGATGGCAGGACACATATGAGAAATCCAATATCCGACCTGGTTGGAAAACGTAGTCATGGTGCGCAAGAGCAGCGGGAAGTGGAGAATGTGTACGGACTTTACCGACCTTAACAAGGCCTGCCCAAAAGACTCGTACCCGCTGCCGAACATAGACTGCCTGGTGGATGGGGCATCGGGATACGAGTTGCTAAGCTTCATGGATGCCTACTCGGGGAATTGTCTTGGAAGGCCCGGGGGGAATACTACTAGAGTAGTCACTGCGATTTGAATTCCGAGCAAGCAATAACCAGGCCGAGTACGAGGCGTTATTGGCCGGCATGGCATTGGCGAAGGAAATGGGGGCGACGAGTTTATCAGCACGAAGTGACTCTCAATTGATCACGAGGCAGGTAGCAGGCACGTTTCAGGCAAAGGACCCTCAACTGGCAAAGTACTTGGAAAAAGTCAAGCTCCTATTGGAAAATTTCCGGGAGTTCACACTTAACCACGTACCCCGAGAGCAAAATTCGAGGGCTGATCTGCTCTCCAAGCTTGCTAGCACAAAAAAGCCGGGAGCCACCCGATCGGTCATCCAAGAGACCTTAGCGCAACCAAGTATTAATGAACCACAGGGGAGTGTTCTTTTCATCGAAGAAGAGCTCAATTCATGGATGGGACCGTACATCACATACTTGACTCGGGGGGAATTGCCAGAGGACAAGAAGGAGGCGTCACTAATACAGAGGGAGTCAGCCAGGTTCGTAGTCATCAACGAGAGATTGTATCGAAGAGGTTTCAGCTCTCCCCTTCTAAGGTGTTTGACCACGTCGCAAGCGCAGAGAGTGATGGACGAAGTACATAGCGGAATGTGTGGAAGCCATATTGGAGGACGAGCTCTGGTATACAAAGTGGCGAGGGCAGGCTACTTTTGGCCGAGTCTGAGAAATGACTGCGTCAATTGGGTTCAAAAATGTGATGGATGTCAAAGGCATACAACGCTGCACCACTCCCCAGCTGAACGACTCCACTCGATTTTGTCTCCTTGGCCATTCAACAAGTGGGGTATTGACATACTTAGTCCATTTTCGATTGCAGTGAGACAACTGAAGTTCTTGATAGTGGCCGTGGACTACTTCAGCAAATGGATCGAGGCGGAGCCAGTTGCAACCATCTCGGCAGAAAAGGTCAGAACTTTTCTTTGGAAGAATGTGGTGTGCAGGTATGGAGTCCCTCAAATGCTCGTTTTCGATAATGGGACACAATTTGCAAGCGCAAGAGTTCGAGATTTTTGTAAAGAGGTCGGCATCCGAATGGCATTCACTTCCGTCGAACACCCACAGTCTAACGGTCAGGCGGAGTCGGCCAACAAGGTAATCCTTACAGGTTTGAAGAAGCGTGTGCAAGACTCAGGCGCTTCATGGGTGGAAGAGCTTCCCCGAGTGCTATGGTCGTATCACACGACTGTTCATTCAACGACCCAAGACACTCCTTTCAATCTGGTATACGGAACCGACGCCATGATCCCGATCGAAATTGCAGAGCCTTCAGTGCGCACTACAACTTTTTCTGATGGAGAATCCGACCAGGGAAGACGAGTTGATTTGGAGTTGATCGCAGAGACAAGAGAAAAGGCAAGGATAAATCAAGTAGCGGCCCAGAGAAGAGCAGCCTTCAAGTACAATGCAAAGGTAAATTCAGGAGACTTTGTCGTCGGCGACCTAGTTTTGAGGCGTGCTCAGCTAACACAGATGAGGAACAAGTTATCACCTAAGTGGGTCGGCCCTTACAAAATTGACGACGTGGTCGGCAAAGGGCCTTACCGACTTAGGACCTTGGATGGAGGGATGATCCGAGAACTTGGAACGCGGCCAATTTACGCTTCTATTATAGCTAATCTTTCTTCTTATTTTGTATTAGGTGCACTCTTTTCCTAACTCAGTATTTTTTTCCCGTAAAAATAAGAGGGGTTTTGACTGAGAAGGTTTTTAACGAGGCACCACAGCTCAAGTCTATTATTCAATGAACATCATTATTCCTCATATAATTTTTCATGTTTTATACATAAATGACCGAAACTCGTGATTGTCGGCAAAATTCCGACTGGGCGAGTATAAATAACTCGAAGACTAAAACTCGTGATTGTCGGCAAAATTCTGACTAGGCGAGTATAAATAACTCGAAGACTAAAACTCGTGATTGTCGGCAAAATTCTGACTGGGCGAGTATAAATAACTCGAAGACTAAAACTCGTGATTGTCGGCAAAATTCTGACTGGGCGAGTATAAATAACTCGAAGACTGAAACTCGTGATTGTCGGCAAAATTCCGACTGGGCGAGTATAAATAACTCGAAGACTGAAACTCGTGATTGTCGGCAAAAGTCCGACTGGGCGAGTATAAATAACTCGAAGACTGAAACTCGTGATTGTCGGAAAAAGTCCGACTGGGCGAGTATAAATAACTAATATTGAATGATGGAAGATGGACGACTACACTTAACACATTCGGATATTGAACGACTTCTTCATACGAGTAAAGACGATTTCCCATACGGATATCGGGCGACTTCTTCGTACGAGTAATTTGACTCGTCGGTTTATGAAAGTCCATTTTCAACTTAAAAGGGTTCATTTTTAACTTAGACAAATTTGTCATTACTCAGGTCGGCATGTGGATGACTAGGTGCACTGGAATTCAACTTTTAACTTAGAAAAAATTTCGTCATTTTCTAGTCGGTGGTTGAACGACTACCTCCAACAAGGTTCAATTTATAACTTAGACAAGTTTTTGTTACTATTCAAATCGGCATGTGGACGACTAGTTCCATCAAGATTCAATTTTTAGACAAATTTGTCATTACTCAGGTCGGCATGTGGATGACTAGGTGCACTGGAATTCAACTTTTAACTTAGAAAAAATTTCGTCATTTTCTAGTCGGTGGTTGAACGACTACCTCCAACAAGGTTCAATTTATAACTTAGACAAGTTTTTGTTACTATTCAAATCGGCATGTGGACGACTAGTTCCATCAAGATTCTATTTTTAGACAAATTTGTCATTACTCAGGTCGGCATGTGGATGACTAGGTGCACTGGAATTCAACTTTTAACTTAGGAAAAATTTCGTCATTTTGTAGTCGGTAGTTGAACGACTACCTCCAACAAGATTCAATTTTTAGACAAATTTGTCATTACTCATGTCGGCATGTGGATGACTAGGTGCACTGGAATTCAACTTTTAACTTAGGAAAAATTTCGTCATTTTCTAGTCGGTAGTTGAACGACTACCTCCAACAAGATTCAATTTTTAACTTAGACAAGTTTTTTGTTACTATTCAAGACGGCATGTGGACGACTGGTTCCATCATTTTCATTTTTAACTTAGAAAGTTTTTTGGAATCTTTCTAGTCGGTATTTTGGACGACTAGATACTTTGAGATTCATTTTTACCTTAGATAAATTGTGGCATCTTTCCAGTCGGTATTTGGACGACTCGATGCTTCGATTTTCATTTTTAACTTAGAAAATTTTTTACGCATTACGTGGGTCGGTATTTGGCCGACTATGTTCATCTTTTGATCATTTTTCAATTAGAAAGTTTTATACACGCAAGGAGGTCGGTATTTTACCGACTAAGGCCACCTTTTGAAAAATTTAACTTAAAATTTTTTTTAC